ATGAACAAGACAATAAGATGCTAGAACTAAATGGAAAGCACATGCACATAGAGGGAAGATCATCCGGAACATCACACCAAGTATGAACAAGACAAAGAGATGCTAGAACTAGATGGAAAGCACATGCACATAGAGAGAAGATCATTCGGAACATCACACCAAGTATAAACAAGACAAAGAGATGCTAGACCTAGATGGAAAGCACATGCACATGGAGGGAAGATCATCCGGAACAATACACCAAGTATGAACAAGACAAAGAGATGCTAGACTAACGGAAAGCATATGCATATGAAGGGAAGATCAACCGGAACATCACACCAAGTATGAACAAGACAAGGAGATGTTAGAACTAGATGGAAAGCACATGCATATAGAGGGAAGATCATCCGGAACATCACACCAAGTATGAACAAGACAATGAGATGCTAGAACTAAATGGGAAGCACATGCACGTAGAGGGAAGATAATCCGCAACATCACACCAAGTATGAACAAGACAATGAGATGCTAGAATTAAATGGAAAGCACATGCACATAGAGGGAAGATCATCTGGAACATCACACAAAGTATGAACAAGACAAAGAGATGCTGGAACTAGATGGAAAGCACATGCACATAGAGAGAAGATCATCCGGAACATCACACCAAGTATTAACAAGACAAAGAGATGCTAGAACTAGATGGAAAGTACATGCACATGGAGGGAAGATCATCTAGAACATTACACCAAGTATGAACAAGACAAAGAGATGCTAGACTAATGGAAAGCACATGCATATGAAGGGAAGTTCATCCGGAACATCACACCAAGTATGAACAAGACAAAGAGATGCTAGAGCTAGATGGAAAGCACATGCACATAGAGGGAAGATCAACCGGAACATCACACTAAGTATGAGCAAGACAAAGAGATGCTAGAGCTAGATGGAAAGCACATGCACATAGGGGGAAGATCAACCGGAACATCACACCAAGTATGAACAAGACATAGAGATGCTAGACTAATGAAAAAGTACATGTACATGAAGGGAAGATCAACCGGAACATCACACCAAGTATGAGCATGTCAATGAGATGCTAGAACTAAATGGAAAGCACATGCAAATAGAGGGAAGATCATCTGGAACATCACATGCTATTATGTGAGTGAAAACAAGAGTCTAAGTAGGCAAGATCACCAAAGTTGAATCAAAGGTCATCTATGAAAGAAGCGCTATACTACCTACTAGTGTGAGTGTGGAAAACACAAGTTTGGAGAGCCCAAATCACCAAGATT